TGGCAAGACTGAGGTATATGAAACCTCCTAGCTAGGGCTCTCACTTGGGCCACATCCAAAGTGCTATCAAACTCCGAACGTGGAAGGTCGGCCATGGCCACCCCTCGGGCAGCGCTTTCGGCCACTGTCCCCAGGATGGGCTCCGAAGTCCGCTCCCCCTCGGCTTGGGGGGACCCCTCTAGCTCCCTTAGTGTCACAGATGCGGCGCTCTCACAGGGAGGGTCATCGCTTCGGCGGCTGCCCTCGGTACCCTCAAAGGCTACCCTCTCCCTCAGCACCATCACCTCTCGCTGAGGAGGGACGATAGCCAGTGGACCTAAGGGAGAGAGGGGGGTAGGAGTTTGAGGAGAGCTCCCTTCCGAGCCAATCGAAAGTTCATAGCACTCAGGCCAAAGTTAGAGTGAGACGTAGTGCGAAGTGTTACCTAAAGATGAAGAAGAAAAGGAGGAAGATGAGGTGTGTTGAAGAGTTTAAGGTCTGGGAGCGGTGTTCACTCGATAGCAAAAGGCGCCTAGAGACAAATGACAAAGAAAAGTCGCGGCTAAGGCCCCTATTTATAGAAGAATGGACGGCTTAGATCCCACCAGATCTAATGGTTCTAAGCCCTCTGCCTTTGCTGACCATCTGTGGTGTGACACTCGGCGCTCAACCTTGGGGAGACGAAACGACACCGAGCAAACCGGTGCCCAGCCTCAGGGAGACAAAATGACGCTGAGCGAACTGATGGACCCATTCACCGCGACCCACCGGTTCGGGAGTATAGGCCTAGTGGACGCATGGACCGGTTCGCCCTGAGTGCCCGTCCCCTTACAGAAGGCTCTCCTCGCGCYAGACCCGTATTGGGCATGACCCCAGTGTGTCAACCCGTGAATCGTATCGCACATGTCCCTAGACCGCACTGTGTGAATACAAGGCATAGGCTCGGCTCCGTCGAGCCCCCTCCACCTCGGGCTCCCTAGCCAGAGCCGAGGCATCTGCAGTTTCACCCCTCTTCCACAAACTGAAATCAGGCTAAAGCAGAAGCGAGATGAATACGATGCCACTACAGGGTACATTCCATCGAATAAGCCCAATGGCACCTACCGATATCGACACTCCCCTTGGCCGAAGCCGGAGCCCTTTTCGAACCCCCACCTCAGCCTCGGGAGTGGGGGAAAGTGATGTAGGCACATTTGGCTAGCCTGTATGGGACTGACGCGTGTCAAATAGAGGGCGCCAACATAGGCTCGCCATGAGAACGCCCGGGGTTACTCGATGCAGACTAGGCAAACCCAATCACAGCATTCCACGTGGCTTTGACAGAGGATCTTCCTAGGCCCTCGTGCGACTCGCATCTGGACCATCTGAGCCCAACTACCCCCTGGCAGCTCCGACTATGAATACAAGGCATCGCCACGAGGTAAAGGATTCAAAACCTTTATGACCTTTAGTGCTCTCTCCTCTAAGGACTTAGCGCTATCTGAGACCTTGTCTGGACCCCACGGCTCTAGACTCACTGCTTATCTTGTGTACATACTAACTTGACCGTCGGAGTCTTTGCCTTGGGTTCCCACCTGAGGCCTCTAACACCTTCTCCCTTGCAGATTCGCTACCATGGGAGTCATATCTCGTCCCTCTTCGGACGCCCTTCTCAGTACTAGCCCTTGGCCTCTACATTATCTGAAAGAGCAATCTACCTCGACCTCCAGCCCTCAGCCTCGGCTTATCTCCTCCGGACCCTCAAAGCCTTCGGCCTTTGATGAGACCAAAAAGAACCCTATTTTTATCCCCTAATATTCACTCTTTTACATTAATTTGGCACTTAGATGGACTCATTACTCTTGTATTTCGATTTAGGGCAATAAAGAAGGCAATTGGAAGAAAACGGGGCAAATCGGGTGAGTTTGCACAGTTTCGGCGATAGTTAGTAATCGGGGCATAACTCTCAATTCCGGACTCTGAATTGGACAATTCAAGAAGCTTTAAAAATATGAAAGGAAGGCCCATAACTTTTATGTTTTGGGTTTTGACAGATTTGGCCCTCATCGAGTACGAAAACGAGCCCAAAGTCGGAGCAAGTTCGTAGCCAGGCCCATTTCACATCTAAAGCCCAACTCGTAGAAATACCTTGAAACAGCCCAAGTTATCAAAGCAGCCCAACTCGAAGTCAAGTCAAGAGTCCCAATTTCGAATGTAACCTCTTGAGAGAGAGTCTTATTAGATCTAAAGTCTTGAATGTAATCCTATCAAGATAAACAGATTGGATTAGATCACTAGATAAGAGATATGATAGGATTAGTTCAAAAACAGATTAGGACTTTCTAATTTGAAGTTAATCTCCTAAAAGGAGTTGGAAAGCAGCCCTCTCCCTCTGCTATATAAATAGGGGGGCGGACCAGCTCTAGCATGACTCACTCCAAGATCCAAGAGATCACCAAGCAACTCAAGAAAATCAAGAGAGCAGTTCGGCTAAGGAGAAGCAGAGCATGGAGGTTTCGTAGATCATGAGCAGCTAAGCTTCTTTTTCTGGTTCAAGGGGGGAGGTTCRATTRTGYCATTGTGASGTTCTGTAGTTAATTTATTTTCTTGCTTTTTAATTCAAGTATTCATTGATTCTTGTGCA